TTTTCTGTTCATTGTGAGTTTTCCTGCATGCAATTATATCTGATTGTTGTGATAGACTCCAGTGCTTGGGCTGACATAATTCTCTCTTTTGGAGCTTGGCGCTCCTGGGGAGGCTGCAGGCGTTGGCCTGTCACCCTCCCATCTTCCCTCAGCCATGTGAGGGACACTTAACGCTTCATCTTTATTTTCTGGTCGGTTACTTTTCTGTTGCAGTTCTCAGAACTCCTCCTGACTTGTCCGTATTTGCAGATCTGGACAGATATTCTGGGGGCATGGAGTATTTTTGTTGGACCTCCCTTTCACAGGATAAAAGACCTTGATTTTCTGCTGCAAATCTGCTTTTTGCTGTTTTTCCCCCTGCCATGTCCCATTGTACTGTGCTTACTGTGGACTTTTACGTAGTACCCATTACTGTGGTATCTATATTTTGGGTTTTTTTAATATATATATTAAAAAAATAATGCGACCAGTATGGCCATCATGTAAGTGTCTTTTTCAGGGGGGTAGTTGTTTTATTTTTATTTTTATTTTTATTTTTATTTTTATTTTTATTTTTTTTTATTTTTATTTTTATTTTTTTATTATGTGTACTTTTGTTTGTGAAAGCTAAGCTGAAGAACCTCACCTAGTACACTGATATTTAACTTGCTGTCTATTGTAACATCTGTTATTTTCAACATTGCTGCTTCCTGGATTTCGCCCTCCCACTGCATGGGTTTTTTTGGATCGTTTCCCTTCACTTGTCTTAGCCTGCTTTTTTTCCAGAATGAATCTCATTTGATTATTTTCAGACTGCATTTCTATTCTCTCTAAGTCCCTGCGCATTATTTCCTTGTCCCCGTTGTTTTTGCAGTTCCTCCAAATGCAATATTTCCTGGAGATTTAAGTTAGCATGCTGTCTAGAGTCTCTTCTGGATCATTAAAGAAAATACCAAGTGAAATAGGACCTAATACAGGTCTTTGCAATATTGCACCTTCTTCCAATGTTATCCTTTGCTTTTATCATGATTTATTTGCAGCCAGTCTTCAAGTTGAGCCACAGCATTCATCTCAAAGCGCAAATCACTATCAAATGTTTACTAAAAATCAAACACATCACATCTGCTCCTTTCCCTTCAACTCCTAGTGCTGTAATGCTAGCCAGAAAAGGGGCCAGTTTCTAGCCAGTTCTGCTCTTCTGAATAGAAATCACAGTTTCATTGTCCTCAGGCTTGTAGCCTGGTTTACTTTATAGGAAGCCTCATGAATTAAAACAGCTGTGCGGCCCATTCTGATACTCAGTTTTGTGGAGAAACAGAGCTGGGGAGGAAACAAGTGGAGTTTACGCATGTGAGGGCGAGAAAGAGAGAAGAGGGATATGTGTGTGGGGAGAAGGGGAGTCACTTTTACCTGCCTGTGTAAGATATGTAACTAAGTGATGGCAGTTAGAAATATTTCTGAAGAACTGGTTGAATCCCTGAATGTTCCCGTGTTTCTAGACCATGGCTTCCCATATAGTTAAGTGTTCCACGCTGTCCTGCTTTGCTCTGCTGTGGTCTGCAATGCCATCGATATTTGAAGCTATGGCCAAACTGAAGGCGTGAGATGGCATCCGCAGCCACCTCCTAGCTGGGCACCTTGTAAAATCCATCTGCTTCAGCTGTTCGCTGGGTATCCATGACACAGAAAAACTGTAACACTTCAGGAAAGTGGTAAAAGGACCTTTCTCACTCTTAAGTGCAACAGGTAAATGGCTGGTTTGGGTAAGAAACAAAGGAATTGAGACAAACGTGAGGAGATGACAGGGACTGTAGGATAAGAAGTGAGAGCATGCTTAGCCAAGAACTCTTTCAATGGGGAATGTGAGTTATAGTCCCTGGAGATCATGCAAAAGGCATCCCATTCATGGCTTTTTGCTTTGACCTGGCCATAATAAAATCTCAAAAGTTTCTGGTGACAGTAATGCCTGCACTGCGCTGGTTAGAGGAACATTTTATACCAGTGATTTAAAAGGATTGTTAGTACCCCCTTTCAGCTGGGGCAAGCGGCTGGGAGCAGGCAGAAATAAATTTAATCGATTTTTCTAAAAAGGCTCTGCCTATATTACTGGGTCCCATACTGTCTCCTCTTGCTCTTGCCTGCATCCCCTCTTTCCCCCATGGCTTTTGCTGCCTGCTGGCAGCCCAGCCTGGACCACCACCCATGACGGGGAGGATGGCACGTGGCAGCGTTTCAGCCTGGGTTTTGATACCTGGAGTGTCGGGTCCCTGGTGGAGAGTGGGGTGGGGCTAGGGAAAAGCTTAGGCTTTGTGCTGGTGAAGAAGTACGAGTTGGCCTCCAGGTGAAAAGTGTGTCTGTCCAAAACGTGGGGAAGGGGGGTAGGGGTGTGGTTTTGTTTTGTTTTTGGTTTTTTTTTGCTAGAAGTGCAGCTTGAGCAATTAACGCAAATATTGCTATTGAGGCTTCTGATCTAAGCTTTTAAAATTATTCCTAGTATGTTCAGTACTGTTCAGACATCAGAGGAATTGAATCTAGGAAGACGCTACGAAGAGATGTTAGAAGCTGTTTTTTAATAACCTTACAAATTTTCATATATTGTACTGACAGCGTATGCCTTCAGCATTGTGGCAACTGCAGGCCTAGATACACCTCAGAAACGCCTTCATCGTTTTCCTACTCTGTGCTACATTTTCCACCTGGAAAATCCCTTTTTCTTTGATGGCTGCACTGAAGCAAGAGGGCTAAAAGGACTGTAGCCACCTCTAGGTTTGCAGTCCCAGGCTTTATACCGGTGGTTATTGGGGCACATGGGTCTGTGGTCTGTCTCTGTCTCTCTGCTTCCTCCTCTTCCACCCACCCCCCCAGTGCAGACCTAAACTGGACAGTCCAGCCCTAAGGACCAAGCCCAGACCTAACCCCTGCCACCTCACAGTCTGTTCGACTTTGTCCTCTTTGCTGAAACAGCACGGTATGTAGATTCTGGCCAAATCAGAAAGCAATCAAGGAGTGTCTGAGGTACGTAGAGCAACCTGGGACTCGTAGGCGTCTGCCGATGCGCCGCTTCATCACGGCTGCGCAGGTGGACCAAGGACTGGCTGGAGCCTCCTGGCTCCGCAGCCCCCGAGAGCGGGGCTGGCGGTGGTCCCCCACTTCCCTCCTCTGCCTGCTCTGCTCAGCCTAGCCAGTAGGTCGGTTCAGTCTCTGCCGAGTACTGCTACGACCGAATGATTTGGTTTTGCTTTGCTTTATTATTTACTACAATGATCAAAGGAGCCACTCCTTGTGATCGTAAAGAGAAGCCTTAAAATCTTATTTAAGAGCACGGATATTTTGGGCTTTGACAGATGTGCTTTGAAAATAACACAGATGTGCAGTGTCGGATTTCACCGCTGCATGCAGTGTCTTTGTTTTAAACTGTAAATTTGGCTAGTAGCGCTGGGCATGTGCTTTCCCAAAGCCTTGCCCCCTGCAACACAGGAAAAACAAGTTTCTGGGTTGTGAGGTTTTTTTTCCCCCTGAATTTACCCGCTTAGAGAGTTTGAAAGGAAAATTATCTTAGCAGAGTGAGCACGCAACCCTGCAAGACTGCAAATCTATGGGTTATTTTTAACCTAATTACCTCAAATTAAACAAAAGCTTAAGAATTTTTTGCTTGAATTGAAGGCAAGGCTAAGTAGACTTTTATTTGCAGTGAAACTCCAGCCGAAGACATGCTTCTTCCGTTGCGCCATGCAGAATAATGCCTGTGGCATTGCACTGCACTAACGAACAGCGCTTGATTTTCTGAAGCGCTCGTTTTTATGAGTTGATGCAAGAGGATATGCAGCTCTAGAGCAGTTCACTCCTTTCCCATTCTCACCCCTCCTATGGATGCGGTGATCGCTTTGGACCGGTGACGTTTTAGATGGAGCATGGTCTCCTTACACTTGCCTGGCAGTGGCTCATTAACTGCATGTTAATTGAAACTGAAAGTTTGTCAGATGGTTCAATTCAGTTACATGTTAAATGGATTCAGTGCAGTAAGCATTACTGCTGTGATGAAAATCTCTGTGGAATTGATTTGTGAACTGATTTGGAGAGATTCAACGGCTTCATCAGCCGATCGGCTGGGAGATCGGCATCGGGAGAGCGGGCAGAGGTAGCCATGCTCCCAGCAAAACAAATCCTACTCTTCTCTTTCCCCCTAAACAGCTTTAATTACTGCCCAGTATGTTCCCTTTCCAGGACATGTGTTAGGTAGATAAATTCACTCTGGAAAGCTGAGAAGCAAAGAAAAAAAAGGGAAGAATCAAAAGTCTGGTTTGAATTCTGTAGTCTAAATGGCTGGAAATGTTGAATTCCTTATCTCTTAGTGGATCGAGCAGTCATAAAATTTTCCTAAAGTTCCTAAACTAAAAGTATGTTAAAAAAAAAATGTATCTGCTTTAAATTAATGGATGGAAAAATTCAGAATTTGCATCTTCCATAACTCATCTTTTATACTTGGCCACTGCAAAAGTCCCTCTTAAGTGAGCAATTTATTCTGTATGCTGTACCTGCTTATATGCTTGGTTTCCGTGTGGAGCCAATTTTTATTGCTGAGTTATAAGCCCTTTCAAAATTGGGGCTTGTAATGGAAGCGCTGACAGACTTTTAACTAGGTCAGTCTTATCTGGCTCCATTATCTTAGCTTTTGTTAAAGCATTACATGGTTGCGTATTTGTTTATTTTGCTCGCAGTCCCAGAATTTTAACGTGGGTATATTATTGAATTGTTCTTTCTTCAAAATGTCATGAACGTGGCAGCATTAGAGAGTTTATCCCGACTTCGCAGTCATCTTTAAAAGTAAATTGAACTGTTGTGTCTTATTTCAAGATTTTTTTGCTTATATAGTACATTTAGTCTGTAGCATGTCATTACAGTGCTAATACCAAAGTTTGCTTTTTCTCCTGCTATCTTACTCTAATCTTGAATTTTGCTCTGTCTTTTGGGCTCCTTTCTGCATAAAATGACAATAATGTTTTTTTGTTTGTCCCATTCAGGTGAAAAGCCATGCCACTGCAACTTTTCTGAAGAGGAAACCCCAATGGTAACATCTCAGTTGGATGAACTCCCGAAGCTGGGAAGCTGCAACACCAGAGAAAACGAGGCCAGGGAATCTAAACCAGAGATTCCTGCCCCGGTGTCAGCACTGGAGAGTGTCATCAAGGAGCCCTTTTCGAAATACCAAGATCTAAAAGGTTCTGCAGACATAAAGATGCCAGCATTTCACCACAGTCAAGGGCTTCCTTGCTCCAGTCGCATTGCTAGCTTTGCTTTGGGTGTGGGCCAGACATCTTCAAACATGGTCATGGACTTGAAAACGTCACTTGAAGTGCAGGCTAGTCGTGCTAGAGAAAATTTGCTAGACCTAAACAGGGAACATCCTCTGATAGAAAAAGGTGCTGAAGCTCAAGAGGTAGCTCCACTCGATTTGAGTGAAAAATCAACAAGGGATAATTCATGCAATAAAAATCTGAATACATCCTTGCAGGCTGCTTTAATTGTCTACCCGTGTCCTTTCTGCAGTCACAAGACCTACTACCCTGAAGTCCTGTGGATGCACAAAAGAATTTTGCACAAAATCAGCTGTAACTCGATGGTCCCCCCTTGGGTTCAACAGAACGGATTCAAGAGTATTAAAAACAACCTGGTCTTTCTGGCGAGGAGTGGGCGTACTGGCCCCCCTCCTGTTCTTGGTGGTAAGGAATGCCAGCCTTTGCCCGTTGCCAGATTTACGCGCACTCAAGTGCCAAGTGCATTGCCAGGGTCCAAAAGCAGCTCTCTTTCTGTCGGGATGACTGCGAAGTCCGGGAGTACGCATCAGTCAAAGGATGGTCATGCCTTTGGACACTGTGGTCCACGCTTATCAGGTCTGGATGGGTACAGACAGCCCAAGTTAAACCATTCCCAGGAGCAATACAGCATAGCAGCACAACAAAAAAGTAAATATGAAGCAAATTCCAAACTTGTGCAAATGGGAGCCTATAGCAGAAGCGTAACGCCTACTCAGACGGTCATATCCAGGCCTAGCACACAGCCCACCAACAGTAAGCAAGTGGAAAAGTACGTGGTTCCCCAGGGAAGTAGTAGTTTTGCCCCTCCAGGTAAGCACTGTGTGTCCGACTCCATGAAGGCCAAATTCAACCCACCGCCGCAGTATCATCCTCTGTGTAAAAGCGAGCAGTACACTAAACACGAAGAGCCATTGGTGCCTCAGAGGGAGTCTCACGTGAAGGCTGGGAATGAGATGAGGACATTGGCAAACTGCACAGCGGTAGCACGAGTGAGTCCACTGCTGCAGCCCCAGCCTAGCGCCGTGGGAGGTTCTCCGGCTTTACACTCCAGCAAACAGGATCCAGGATCAGACGGGCATGAGAAACGTTTGGACATTTTAAATATCTTTAAAACATACATTCCAAAGGACCTTGCTTCGTTGTACCAAACCTGCGGTGCCAACAGCCCTGTCCTGGATCACGCAGGTAAGATTTTCATGCGCCCTTCCATAGCTGAGGATGCGGCTTGCTTGTTCCTGCTTCATTTGGAGCCACGACACGCTGTTTCACAGTTTCTTCCTTCTCTCCCGTTAACAGTTGGGATTACAAGTTCATTGTTTTTATCATTTCTGGATAGGCTTGAATAGGTTTGTTTACTGATCTCTAACATTGCAGCATCCCCCCTCGTGCACTGTATGAAATTTCTGTCTCAGGTTAAATGTATCTGGTTCCACCTGGAGTATTCTTGTTCCTTTGTCCCCTCGCTTCAAGCAGGCTAAAGTTACGCAGATGTGCTGTCACATGAAGATCCCCCTGATATGCTGATGCTGGCACACATCATAATCTTTTTGCTTCAGGCAAAATAAACATCCTCTGGGGCTTATCTGTGATGTTATTTTGGAGGTTTTGTTCAATTTTGTCTGCAAACAGCAGCAGAGAGAGATAATTACTTGTCAGTGTCCTTTGTCTTTCTTGACAAAAGTCTTAAGATCTGCCTTGTCCATATCAAAGACTGTTATCATATTTTTCGAATTATTCTTTTGATCTGTTTGTAAGTTTATAATTAAAAAGAGGTAGGGCCGAATATGTGCTCACTAATTCACGTAAGCAGGAAAGGCAGTTGTGCAAATAGCCAGTTTAAAAGTTCAGGGACTAAAAAAGTATCAGAGCTCTCCTGTCTCTTGCCAGTCAACTGCCATGTAAAAAGAAGGGGGGAAAAATAAAAAAGAAACCTTTGTACTTGCATTTGAAACCATACTCTTCTGACTATCTGCCAGAATTAGTTTGTCTCAGTGGAAACTGAAAATCACGCTGATTTATTACTCTTGAGATGGGGGTCTGTGTGTAGGGGGGGAGAATGGGAGCCGTAGTCCCAGCTCTCACCATTAGTAAACCATCCCATTTTTTGATATGCTTCTTCTCTTAGTAGAAGTTGTGCAAGAACTGAATTCCACATGGAAAGAGCATGTGTTCCAGACCTGTGTTCTAGTGCCCTCACCTGACATAATGCTCTCTGTTTTGTCAAAAGCATGTGTGAAATGGAGCTTGTGACCCCATTTTGCGAGTGGGACGAAACGCAGGACATTTGGAAGCTGGTAGTCTAAGGACAGCTGTGGTCTAGTGCCCAGAAGGTGTGTGCAAGTTGACCGCTCTGGCAGCTGTGAGGCAAGGAAGGAGCCATAGTATTTGGTCAGGTCTTGGTGGAGGGCCTTTTGGAGAAGACAGGAAGGCAAAATCTATCTGAAATAGTCCATGAGGTGCACCTTTCAGCCACTCCATTGTCAGTTTTGCTCAATCGTTTAAAAAGTAATGCTGCGTAGGAGCCGACTGTTATTTATTACTTTTTGAGTAGATAATTTCACAGGTGGTTAGAGGCTGCATGATGATTGCAACTAACATCAGGCTCCTGGTTTTTGTTAAGGAAGCAGAGGAGGACATGCTCAGTTTCTAAAACTGCGGGGCCAGTGTTCCTGTTTTTGTCCAGCCGACTTTGCTTTTGCCATCCCAGTGCCTAGGAATGTTGTTTAAAGTTTCTCCCTGCCTGCTTAGTACTCTAAATACCAGTTAATTGTTCTACCATCAACTTGGGGTACCTCCACGTGGGTGCCCTCCTTGATGTTATTTAATACTACGTTGTGTTAACCTGCTCAGAGAAATCTTACTGATCCAGTGAGCTCCCAGGGGGATGGAGAGAAACAGTAAAAGCCAGGAACTAGAAGCTGACTTAGTGAATGCAGGCACCTGAAAAACCATGAGGACCGTTGGGGCACAGTAAAGTAGGGGCAGGGTTTCCAAGGAGGTCTCTATTTATCTGCTTTTTAAAAGAGGGTTTTTACTGCCAAAATGTTTTTGCTGGGCAGTGATTTCCAGAGACACTTTAACTGGGAGTTATTTAATGCCCATCTCTGCTTTGAAATCTCTTTTTTCATTCCAAGTGTTTTACAGCAATCAAGTTTTCAGAATTTGAAACTTCATTTTTTATGTAGCTTGTATTTATTTTATATACAATCTCCAGGTTGTTGATGGTTCTCCAAACCAATTGGCATGATGGCTGTTTTTCATAGCACTAAAATAAAAAGCTGCTGCAGGCAAAAGGAACAAGATCCTACCGACTGCGAATAGAGGAGGGTAAATGAACCTTGTCTGAAATAACACAGGGCCTAGACTGAGCCCTCTGAGTCAAGTATGCATCATACAATTAAGTCTTATTATGGCAATGTGAATATGGCAATTGTGACATAAACAACAACCAAAAATCCCACTGAGGTATACTGTTTGCCTCGTGGGTTTTCTCCCAATTGAATGTTCCCGATAGGCTTTACTTGGATGTTTGGTATGCTACCTCATGTTGGATCATAGTAGAATATTTTAGTGTGTGGTATGGCAGTGTTCAACTTCCCTTAGAGTGACTGGATTTATTTCTGGGATCCTCTCTTTTACATTTGTGTCTATTCCAGTGTGCCCTTGGAAAAGAGAGTTGTTTTACGTACTGTTGTGATACAGCTGCAAACACAAAGCTTGCTGTGCTTAGGCTAGGTTTGTTTCATGCTGCCCAATCTTCCCAAACGCTTGTAGAGAGAATCTTATTGTTATATTTAATAGTGGTTATTTATTTTATTCATGATATTTACATGAATCGCCATATTAGGAAAGGATGGGTTATGGCAGCAGATGCACTCTTATTGAGACCAGCTTTAAGCATCGGTGTCGCAGGAGCTCCCATTCAGATAGTCATGTTCATTTACCTTAATTTGCTAACACCTGTAGTCATCCACCCTCTTTTGTTCATGTATAGGATAACCTGAGTGATGACTCATAGGGGTATTGCCTTGCGGCAGTGATGCCCATAGCTCAAAGCTCTGAACTATCAAAAGCCTTATGGTGCTCCTTAGGAAATGCAACAATGGCAAATATACCTGGAAGGAATCCATTTTTTCCACCTTTTTTTAAAATAACTATGATAAAGTGAGTGCCAGGGAGGGGTTAGATGAAAGTCCTAACCTCGTCACCTTCGGCGTTTGTACAGGGTACGTTGGCTTACAACAGCATCCTCAAACTGCCTCATGCACGACACAAGTGGGAGCAGTGTTTCCATGAAGGCTGTTGGATCGGGCCCATAGTGGCTGCTGAGACGAGCATATTCACCTTTCACAGAGCGAGACTTGGGATATATCCAGAGGTGGCAGAAAACCACCTGAGGAACCCAGGTCTCCCAAGCTCCACGGGAGCCGCTCTGCCGATAGCAGAGCCCTGCCCTGCCTGTCCCCGCCTGTCTGGCCAGCCATCTGGCAAAGGCCACGTCTGCTGCCTCAACACAGCTCAGCTTTGCTTTCAAGCTTGCAGCTGTAGTTCTGGCCAAGGAGGGGAAAATGCTAGTAACAGACAAGAAAATCTGCTTTAATCTTGACTGCCTTACAAGGCAAATGTGTCTCATTATAGTACGGTGAAGCTCTCATTGATTTTTATGTGATTTGGGGGGGGATTGGAGGGGTTTTTTTTTGGGGGGGAGGGGTTATACGTGATCTGGATTTGCCCCTGAATCATGATCTTGTATTTGACTGCCAGGAACTTAATTGTTGGGAGTGAGTGTATTCAGCTACATTATACAGACTGTGCTGCCATCTGCAGGAGGTGCTATTATAAAAAGAGAAAACAATTTGTGAGTGGGGTGGTTTTTCTGCAGCCAGCCATTTCTTTTCAATATATGCTGTGGTAAAAACCATCGCAGGACACTTGGTGCCATACCAGCAGAGGAAATGGCAGCCTGTCTTCTTTTCCATACGTTTTCTGGTACAGCACGAGAAAATACAGTGTATTTCGGATGAGCCCTCTGGCATCCTGCAGTTGATGTTTCAACTGGGGGGGAGGGGGTTGTTGCCACTTATTTGTTCACAATTTTATTCTTTTTAAATGCTGTGATGGTCGGGCAAAAAATGAAAGAAGAGCTAAAACTTCACTTGCGCTGACAATCCCCTGAGAATTTCTTTAAAAGCCAAAATACTCCAGTGGCAAATGGAAACATCAACTCTTCCCTTCCGAGGAGAGTGTTTTACCAAAATAGAAAAGATGATGTTCAAACATATTTTTGTTTTTTAATAATAAAAAAGCCCAATAAAAGTCAAATGTGTCTTTTTTGATCAGCAGCAAAAAGACAAAGACCAGCCCTTTAAGTCAGATGCTGTAAACTGACCTTTGGAGAAAAAGGAGAGGTTTGAGCGGTTTTCCACAAATGCTAATGGCCTAGAAAACATGTTTACCCAGGGCTGGGGGAAGGCTGCTGCGCTGCAACCAGCTCAAAATGTCCGGAATGACACTTTCATTCACAGATGTCTTTCGTCTGTGCCTCAGAGGTCCGGGGTCAAAGCAGCACCGGCAGGCAGGTAGGCAGGGGCGAAAGGTTTGATCAGTCTGTGATGGCTCCGCTCGCTCTGCATTTGTCTCTGAGGTATTGCTGCCCGGGGGGGACAGTCGGGCTCTGGTCCTACTCACTTCCTATTATCCATGTGACTTGTCTCCGCCACGCTGGAGTCACTTTGATTTGCCTGATGTACTGCTTGACAAAGCTGGGTGATGGCTGAGAAGTGGATCCAGCTGCTCTGAAAAGCGCACACCTGACATGCCAGTCCTGGTGCGGGCACATCATGGGGAGCATTTTTTAATTCAATGTAATTTATGCATTCTTGCAGTCCTGTGTGTGCCTGGCCTGTCAGCCAGTGCCTAGATGAAGGCTGACAGTTGTCATCCAGGGCCTGAAGGTAGCCTCACATAATGACACATTAGACATACTAATGATGTTTTCTTCTGGCATAATGTTTTCTTCTCAACTTTCCTCTCTGCTCTCCCCCTCCACCCCCTCCTCCCTCCCTCCCTCCCGACTACAGGGATGCTCAGGACACAAACACGCCAAGGAGACTGCGTCTGCAGAGAATGTGGAAAATGCTTTACCCAACCCAGTCACCTCAGGACTCATCAGAGGTCCCACGCAGGTACCTTTTCACACTTGCTCTTGCTTTCTCCCTTTCCTGCTTGCCTGCTTTCGGATCCAGCTAACGAAATGCCAAGAATTACGTTTCACATACCATGTTAACCTAAGTAATTCCAGTACCTAAATCTAAGAGACAGGTTTTTTTATTTTTACGACTGTTGCTCTTGTTCTCTGGATATTGCTTACCTGATCCCCGCCCGAACTCCATAAAACCGCAATGCATTTAAGATAAGTCTTTGCAAATCTTTTATTTTAATTAGAGAGTAGGGGATGCAGAAATGAATATGCTAATGAATTCTGTTGCCACCAGCACAAACTGAAATCAAAGTACCCCTTTCAGCACAACATAAGGCTTTGTTTTGCCTCATCGTTGCTGTTGACAGGAACATTTTTGCAGGAAACAAGATTTTTCTGCAGACTGGTCAGCCCTAAAATGGGAAATCCCTACCAGCCATTTTTAACCTGGCGTGGTCTGTGGTTGAGGCTGTAGGAGGCTAAAGCCACCGGTGTCGGGAGACCTCCTGAGCATTGCACGAGACAGTGAGACGAGCTGGTTTCTCCTGAAAAGTGTGAATGATGCATACATAAGCCAGTCTGATCCAAAATGACAGAGGCCAAATGGTAAGTAATGCAAGAAGAGAGTCCCTTTACACATACACTGATAATTAATGTTGTCAGTGATTGCTTTCTTCAGCGCCGAAGTCTGAATTAAAAAGGGCAGTGGCCCTAGGCTGCCATTAGCACACTCTCTTACAGTAAGTGTTACGGTAAATTGGTATTTTCCGGCCACAGGCTAGTAGCTGGTGTCTTTTTTTGAACATGGTTAATCTGTAACGGTCTCAAATAATGTACACACACTAACGAAGCTTGAATGTTCATCTGTTAACAAGCCCCCTTGTTCCCACAGTGGTATTTGAGTCTAATGGACTCCGAGGTACTGAAGTTCACACCACCTCCGCAGATGCCCCAAAACAAGTATGTTTTACAATTAATTGGATGTTCAGTTTTTAATGTGGTAGCTGGGAAAAAGTTGCACAGTGATACTCATCACTAAAGTGCTGACTGTTTTATAACATGTATAAATAATAACGGTGTTGCTTGATTTTTAGCTTTTAAATTTTTTAAGCATTTTATCAAAGTCTGTTACATAGAGAGTCAGTTAATTGTAGAGCAGGTAGTTAGTGTTTAAATAAACATGTTACTGACTTACTGAGGAGTGGGTGGGATAAGTAACTCTGTAATGCGCAGTGATATGTAATAGTGAGACAGTACATGAAGAATTCCTAGAAATAATTTGCTTTTACAACTAACACATTTTCTGCTGCAACAATACAATTAACGCTTAGTCTGTACTTTTCTGAAGAGTACTCGTACCCTGATACACAATATCTGGCCTTTGAAAGGCTCTCATCCTCCCGTTTCTGTGGACTCTGTGTGGCGGTGTGCTTTCCTGTTTCTAGTATACAGTTTCCTGTCTTAACAAACACTTCTCAGCGCTCTGAATTATACGTGACAAAGCTGTTACATAGAAAACCATTAAACTGAATTTGTTTTGTGTATCTTGCGTCTTTGGAGACCAGTATCATAACCTGGACCTTCCCACTTCATCTTCCAGCTTGGCAGGTGGGTTTCAGGGTACACCTTCTCATGGGCAGTTTTCTTTCATTGTGAAACTGCCTCCAGCATCACTCACTTTTTCTTTCATCCATGTTTTTAGTTTAATTTTGACTACAGCACTTTTCCTGTCCTCTTGTCTCTTACTAAACGATTGCAGATGGTTTCGGCCATGTTTAGGGAATGCATCTCCCTGCTAGTCCCGCCTTCGTGAAGTTTAGGAGTTGGTTTCTACATCCTCACCGGGCACCACGATGTTGCGTAGTTCATGCGCTGCACCCTTCATGGAGACTCTGAGCACCTTCTCTGTTGCACTTGCATCTTTCTGGCCCAAAGGCTACGTGGGGAACCCAGCCGCTGCCACAAGAGTATCTGAGTTGCCGTCAGGCCATAGGAGTGGCCAACAACTCTCCTCATAAAGTTTTTAAGCACTCAATAGTTGTTGTTGTGGGCAGTGTTTGCTTTGGTTTTGTGGGACAGTAGCAGCAAAGTTATGCTATGGTTGGAGAACTAGATGAAAGTGCTCTCCTTATGATGCTTATCTAATAAAATCGTGCAAGGACGTACCTCTCAGTAGAATTATGTGACAGAATAAATCACTGCAGCTCTGCAAACGAGCTCAACTAGTCTTTGGTTCTCATTGGTTTAGTAATGTAGGTTTAGTAAACCTAAGCATCTTTAAAATGCTCTTTAATCTTTTCATGCTCATGGTTTTATCTCATGTGTAGCTGAGATCGGATTCTGAAGGCATCCGGGCTTTTTTCCTCTAAAAGACAATGTAAGGTCAAAGTTGGAAATACATTTCCAAAAAATTCTGAAGTGGCCATATCTATCCAAAACGAGATGTGGCAGCTCAGTCCACATCTGGACTCTTTGTAATTTGGGTTATATTACTGCACAATAAATTTACTCATAATCTTGTCTTTGTAAACTACTGCCATGCCATAATTTATTGACTAGCTTCTTCCATGGCAAATGTAGTTTGCTCTTGCAGTCTCAGTCCGTGTCAATCTGTCTTCAAAGTATTTGATTAAATTACAGCATCTCTTGATACAGTAGAATACTGAGTAGGGCTTAGCTTCATGAATCGCTTCATCTCTTGCTACTCAGTATTTCTTTCACAGAAGCCGCGGTATGATCACTTCTCCAGGAGATAGTTCCCTTTCTTTTGTCGTTTGCTCCTCGGTATCAGCCTTTGTCTCAGTTTGTCAGCGCCTGTGTTGGTTAGGATTATTCAGTTGTCTGCCGTTTTGCTTGTTCTCATCATGAGCAGGCTTTGCGCTCCCCCAGAAGGCTCCACCTGCACAGTCCCTGGGCGTTAGGGAGGGAATACGCTCATTCCTACCTGCAGCTGCAGGGCCCTTTAGAAGCACAGAAATGAGCTCGCACCGAGAACAATGCCTGCAGCATTCTGGTAACGTTATGATTTCCCACTTTAAACATTGTCACTCTGTGTCTTCATTTCATTTCTTAATTGGGGACAGATCTATTCATGAAAGTTTATGGTGTAAAGTCAGTTCAAGTTACAGAAGTGCCGTGCACATGCTCCAAGAAACAATAGTTACCATGTACAGTAGCTTGAGAATGAAAGGGTTTTTTTTTTCTGTTAAGTGAAAATGATTTACTTTACATAATGTTTCCTCCTTACAGGTAAAATACCTTCCCCTGAGTAGTCTGCTAAAGAGTGAAAATACTAACATTAGTATTTCACAGTTCCCCCATTCCCTTCAGTAGTCAACCAGAAGATCATCTCTAAACGTTTCCTTTATGAAAGAATGTTTGTTAGTGCTTTTAAAGTCCCCCAGCATAGTAGCTTACAACAGTGCTACATTGTATAGCAGTTTTCTCAGAGAACAATTTTAATTCCGCAAGTTAAAAATAGGGTCTACAGCCAGCTAAAAATGAGCCAGCTAAATCTATATTTAGGTGTCTAAATAAGAAACCTACTTTAGGGTAATGAACCACCAACAGGAGATACAGGTGTTCAGCACCACTGAAAAGTAGGCCACCTATAGGGGCTTGTAAAGAAGACCATACACACGCAGTTTTGATAATATTAGCACTGGGCTGTATTTCATGCTTTGTTATCAGCACCAACGAAATACAAACAAAACGTAGGAAATAAGATGTTCATTTCCTTCATAACATTATTTACTGTAGTTTCTTACTTCTACCTGAATGCTTTAAAAACAAAGAAAGAAGGACATTTTTACATCAAATGAATTTCCTGTGAACTCTGGAAAATTTCCTGCTCTTCTTTTGTCTAAAGGACAAAAAATGCTCATTACATTACCCGAGTCAATACAATCTGTGCAAAGTCACGTAGATTCTCTTGAAATGCTGCCATATTAAACATACTGAATATTCTGAATATTTTTATAAATGCTAAATATCCCAATATATCCATAATTAAGCTTGCTTATCCACAATGAATATGTAGCTTAATTTGGAATACACTAAGCAGCATCCAAAGACCTGATTTAGTAGGCATGAATTCGGGGAGTGCACTCCAATTGCTTATACATGGTAAGACAAAAGTTGTCTCCTTCAGAAGAATCCCTGCGACCGTGTGTATCTCGAGGCTGCTGCAGTTCTTAAAGCAAAGCTCTCCTAAAGCATGGGGTCATTTCAGAGGCACTGCCTGATGCTGCAACATTGCAGCCAGAATCCCAATTCCCAAGTGCATTCAGTGGCACAGGAGTCAGTCTCTAGCCTGCTTTTGCAAAATGGTGACAGCTGTGGTAGCAATTTCTAATACGTATGCCTTGCGTTTAACTTCTGCTGCTGTGTTTTTAAAAACATACAAAAACTTGGCCCGCTTTAGGAATATAGTTTATCCTCTATCAGTGCTGTGTCAAACAATATGCTCTAAAAATTCTAAGGGGCAAGTAATTGTTCAAAAGGCATGATTTACTGGTTAGCAGCGAGGAAGAGTTCTGTCTAATTGAGAGTATACATACGTGAAGCATATTTGCAGTGCTGGAGCCAGAGACACCGAGTTCTCTGTCTTTGTGTGAGTTGAAACAAGCAAAACCCTCAAAACTCTAACCTTTGCCCTCTCTGGAAAAACACCCTTTTACTCACAGAAAATCAATTAAAAGCTACAGCCCAGAAAAAAAAATGAACTGTTGGTATCATGTATACCTCTGTCTGAAGCTTTCCCCATGCCAGAAGGCAGTGATGGTCCTTTTCTGTGAAGGAGCTGTGGACACCACAGTTCTTGGGCCTCATTCACTGGAAAGAGAGGTGCGCAGCAGGTCCTGTGTGACAGGGGTAAACCACCTTCATTAAGGAGTCCATAAGCCTTCATTTTCTCCACTGTAAGTATTTTAAAATATTTCTTGCAGTGTTCAGTACTTGAGATAGCATAAATGCGAATAGTCAGAATTTTGGGGGATAGACAGATTGTAAAGAACCATCAGGAAAACTACTAGAGAGAGAGAGAGAGAGGGAAAGGCTGCGACCATCTGTTACCTCTGATGTTTTTATAGTCCAGGAACACTACAGCCCTGCTTGTCCTAAAGCAACTTTGGGGAGAAGGAGAGGAGCAAAAAAAAAAAAAAAAAGCCAGGATGAAAAAGTTACTTAAACCATTGGTTTCTGAGTTTGGTTGGGTTTTTTTTTCGCATTTGAAATTTTAGCACTGTCTGTTAGAAGTCCCTATTTATGACATTTGTTCATATGAAATGTCTTGCCCCAGTTCCTTGCAAAGTTTCTGCTAAAGATCATGATTAATAGTTCAGTCCTCATTATTGCAAATGTTATTTTTAAATAGTTATTCTGAGAACAAGAATTCCATTAATCAAAATAATAGATAATGAACAAATAAATGGCAACCTAATTTGTCTCGTTCATACATATGGAGATTATAACGCAAACAATCAAGGAATCATGGAGGCTGCTGTACCGGCATCTGAGTAATATGCATGTACTGTATGTCCGTTAGTTTATGAGTGCTATGGGCAGAATTAGCAGCTGTAGTTCTTGTCCCAACACTTTCCCCTTGCCAGCAAACTGGAGCGGTATCTGTGCTCCAAACCGATCATTGCAATTTATTTCAATGTCACACGATAATCTGTCTCCAATATATTAACATGCACACAAACTGATTTTTTTCCTGTTAACTAGTGAAAAGCCCAAGAAGTTGCTATGAAAGCAGCTTTTGGCATGGAAGCTATAGGTTTCACTTAAAAAAAGATCTGCTATTTTTCCCCTTTAAAATGCTGAAAGTGAAGAAAGCCTACTTTTTAAAATGGTAAACATTTAACTTCAGGAAGAATTCAATCCAGCTATGTATCAGCTGGTTCAAAATCTGCCTGCCCCCTCGGGCCGGTGCGAGTACAGGGGGGTGGGTGAGCCACAGGGTGGGTTTGGCACGCGTGAAGCTCAGGTGCTCTTCCCCAGTGAAACTGGGAGTACGGCCGTGCATCAGAGGGGTCCGGCCACCCACCACCCACCGCAGGGAACGCCTCTGCCGCCCAGCACCCTGCAGGCTATCCATCCCAAAAAAGCACCCCTAATTACACCCCTTTTTTCAGTTCTTACCCAGGGAAACTGGGACAAGGTGCTTGCCATCCCCTCCCCTCCCTCCCTCCTTCCCTCCCTCCTCCCCCGGCTCAGTGAAACCCTGCCGCGCTCCCCCATGTATGTAGAGCCGGTTCGATACGAGACGTTTTAATGATGAATGCCTCCTCCTGGAATTGTGGCTCTGTCTCTCAGGCATGATGCAGCCGCGCAAAAATGTAAAGCATCTTTCTTGGTTTACTGCAGGAAATTCAGCATCCAACTAAGGAAGTTTTATCACATCTCTCATTCAGTTACTGTTTCCTACATTTCAAATATACTGCCATCTGTACAGCAGCTTTTTTTTTCTTTAATTTTGTTGCAAATCTTTCCGACTTAAACCAAACTTTGACTGGTAAATGTCATGAATCTCGAGCCAGGTTTAATTAGGAATTTTCTAAATCTATTAACAAAAGAGATGCACTTAATACATTATGTCAACCAGAGCTGGGCTTTCTTTAGCTATTTCGAGGGCTGCCATAGGCACAGCTTGAAACTTGCTTGGATTTTACATGGGTGCCGTATTTTATGTTGCATTAATTTAAAATGGTCTGTTTCACTTCATCAAGACTTTAGCTTAAGGATAATGCATTTATGTAAGATTAATCTTGCCATGTTGTTTTAGGATCAGGATTGTAAACTGCATTGTTCCAACAGTGATGTTCTAAATGTCATTTTAAAGCTTTTCTTGGGAGCTGCAGGCTCCCACTTATTCATGATGTTATCTTTAATTTCACTTGATTTTAGAATATCCCTGCTATTTTTCTCAACATGGTAATTATTCATGAAAATTGGCTAAAAAAATAGAAGGAAGATGACGGGGGCGGGGGGGAAAGCTGCCTTAGCATTTGACAGACCTGCGCAAGAATTCAGTTTTCCTTCTTTTAGCTAGCTGCCTCTGTGACCTCAAACTTCAGCCTTTTTAAAATGCTGATCTACTTATGAATCCCTCTCGGCTAGCTCAAAATTCTGCTTTTTGGAGGCCTCTTCTTCCCCTCCTTGTTCTCAGCCTTCTCTGAACTGCTCCATCGGACGCTATTGCTTGCTCTTCTAGTCCGTCGGGGACTTTATATGGGCCTGACACACTTTGTCTTGCTGGAGATGATTAAAAACACCCAAAAAAGCTTCTGATGCGGCGGGCCAAAGTGAATGTACGTGGTGCAAATAAAGGGTAACGAACACCAGCAGGGCTTGCTGGAGGGTTGCGCGTGGGAGCAGAGGCGAGAATGAGCTTTTCCCTGTGTCGTCCTTCTTGCAGGGGAGAGACCACGGCGGTGCGGAGGTCGCCCACACGCTGCCTCTCCGGAAGGGAACCTAGAGCCCAGGCGGAGGAGCCCCCGCGCCAGCGGCCCCC